AGGACCCGAGTGTTTTCACGGTTCCTTGTAAAATGGGTAACCTTTTTGTACCATGTGCCATTCTTGATCTTGGAGCATCAATTAATGTCTTACCCTATTCAAGTTATAAGACAATAGGAATTAGACCTTTATCAAAAACCGGAGTTATCATTCAACTTGCCGACCGGTCTTTGGTACACCCGAAAGGTGTATTGGAGGACGTGTTAGTGCAAGTTAATGAACTTGTATTTCCCACTGACTTTTATGTTTTGGATATGGATGATGAAAAAACCCCACAATCAAACTCCATCCTTTTGGGGAGACCTTTTATGAGTATCGCAAAAACAAAAATAGATGTAGCCAATGGTACTTTCTCTATGGAGTTCGCTGGTGAGGTGATTAACTTTAATATCTTTGAAGTCATGTGTTATCCTAGTGATATTCATTCTTTAAACTTCATAGATGTTATTGATGCATGTACTAATGATTACTTTGAGATATTAAGCCAAGATGTGCTAACCACCATCTTGAGCAAACACTTTGATGAGACAGGGATTAAGAATTTGGCTGACAAGTACACGTTGGAGGACGAATTGATTTTAGTAATCAATTCCTTGGAAAAAGCACAACTCATGAGAGTTGAACCACCCCACATGAAGCTAAAAATCTCCAATCTGAAACTACTCCCATCCATAGTACAACCAATGACTCTTGAGTTGAATGCTCTTCCCGACCATCTCAAGTTGCCTATCTTGGAGAGGAAGAGACATTACCAGTGATAATTTCAACCAAGCTAGCACGAGAAGAAGAAAAAGAGTTGATTGGAATTTTGAAGAAGTACAAGGATGCTATTGGTTGGACCATTGCGGACATAAAAGGGTTGAGTCCATCATTATACATGCACAAAATACTGATGGAAGATGACTTCAAGCAACCCGTGAAGTCCAAAGGAGATTGAATCCACCTATGATGGAGGTAGTGAAAAAAAGAGATCATGAAGCTCTTGAATGCAGGTGTAATCTATCCCATTTCTGATAGTAAGTGGGTAAGTCCCGTGCAAGTTGTCCCGAAAAAGGCCGGAGTCACTGTTGTTAAAAACTCTGAATGGGAATTAGTACCCACCTGTGTGCAAAACGGCTGGAGGATTTGTATCGATTATAGGAAGTTGAATGCTTCCACACGGAAAAACCACTTCCATTTGCAAAAAGATAAAATCAAGAAAGAGGCCAAGCGATACATATGGGACGAGTCGTACCTTAGGAAGTACTGTGCAGATCAAATGATCTGAAGGTGTGTTGAGTGAAAAGAGGTACAATCTATCCTTAATTTTTGTCATTCTTATGCTTGTGGTGGTCACTTTGAACCCCAAAGGACAGTTAGGAAAGTTTTAGATAATGAATTGTTTTGGCCTTCTATATTTCATGATTCTTATGTGTTTTGTGCACATTGCGAAAAGTGCCAAAAATTCGGGTCTTTAAGCTCTAGGAATCAAATGCCCCTTACTCCCATTTTAGTGTGTGAGATATTTGATGTATGAGGTATTGACTTTATGGGACCATTTCCGCCCTCTTTTGGTTGTTCATACATTTTATTGGTGGTCGACTATGTGTCCAAATGGGTGGAGGCTAAGGTCACCCGTACTAATGATTCCAAAGTTGTGGTAGATTTTCTTAAGGTACAGATTTTATCACGGTTTGGCACACCAAAGGCGCTCATAAGTGACCGCGGGACCCATTTCTGCAATAGGATGCTCGAAGCTGTTTTGAAGAAGTATGGGGTGACACACAAAGTCTCAACAGCTTATCATCCCCAAACCAATGGATAAGACGAGATCTCAAACAGGCAAATCAAAAGTATCATGGAGAAAACGGTCAACCCAAACCGCAAAGATTGGATCATAAGGCTAGATGATGCCTTATGGGCATACCGTACTACCTTTAAAACCCGCATTGGTATGTCCCCATATAGGCTGGTGTTTGGAAAAGCATGTCATCTTCCGATTGAGCTTGAACATAAAGCTTTTTGGGCTGTAAAGAAATTCAATATAAATAAAGATGAGGTAGGAAACAAAAGGAAGCTAGACATTCAAGAGTTAGAGGAGATTCAGAATGATGCGTACGAAAGCAACATGATTTATAAACAGAAGACAAAGGTGAACCATGACAAAATGATCTCCCGGAAGACTTTTGTGCAAGGACAAAAGGTGCTTCTTTACCACTCAAGGTTCAAGTTAATTTCAGGGAAGTTAGGATCAAGATGGGTTGGTCCTTTTGTGGGCACAAGGGTATTTGACCATGGTGCGGTGGAAATCACGAGCAAGCAAACCGGTAAAACATTCAAAGTTAATGGTCATAGATTGAAGCTGTTTTATGAAGGATTCGATGTGAAGACTGATGAGGTTGATGTGTTGGAGAACCCCACATACCAAGACTGAAGCACACTTGGTGGAAAAGTCGGGCCAATGACTTAAAACAAGGGCAGCTAACCGAGAGGCAACCCGGGGGTATTTTCGTCATTTTTATTTAATACATTTTGTTCTTTGCATTTTTATGGTTTTTAATGTTCCAAATGTGTTTTGTCATGTTTTCAAATAAAAAATAACGGACCGTGGGATGCAAAAGCATTTCATTTCAATGAGAGGAAATTTTTAAGTTCAAAAAGTGAGGAATAGCATCCAAAGCCCAACACGGGTCATATCCCACTTGGCCTTAATTGAACATGGGTCGTGTTCATGAAAATATACTATTTTTCATCCAGAGACCAACACGGGTCGTGTTGGATTTTGGCCCATAGTGAACACGGTTCGTGTTCATAAAAAATGACCTTGACCCATCGAGAGACCAACACTGGTCGTGTTGAGTTTCACCTTATACTCAACACGGGTCGTGTTCGTGCTTCAGTTAGCATAAAAACCCGAAACACGGGGAGTGTCAATTTGGCCTATGGGAACACGGGCCGTGTTCGTGCAGCAAGCCTGGTGGTTTTTAACGATAAAAATTGGGACTTTGCCTCATTTACCCCCACAATCACTTCATAACAGCCCCTCTCTCCCAACAAAAAATCCTAGGTCCGATTTTCATCAAAACCTTTCAATTTCTACAAGATTTTGGCTTGAATCTCCAAAAAGGTTTGATTTTTATCATCTACACTTCATGTTCTTCATCCTAAACATCATTTTCTTGCATTCTAATGGTGATTTGGGGGTTTTGACAAACCCTAGGTCCGAAAATCTCATGATTTTGGTGTTTTTGTGTCTTAATCTTCAAAAGGGCAAGCTCGGGGAGGTTGAAAAAGGTCTTTCCCATCAAGAACGACATAATCTTACGCACGATTCGGTAAATTCCTTCCAATTCTTCACTTGTGAGATTTGTGTTGTTGAGTCAAATTGCTTGATAAACTGGTCAAATTGGACTTGATTCTCAATAGAAATCATTCAAAACAAAATTTCCCGCGAAATTTTGGTGGTTGAGTTCGTGTTGACTGGACTCGTCAACAGTTGACTTTTTTTTTACTTATTGACAAGTTGACTTTTAATTTGTCCTAAATTAACTATGGAAGGTGAACCTTCTAAAAGTCCTAGACGCACCAAATCATCTGCCCCCCATCGTAGGCCTAGGTCCCCATCCCCATCACCTCCACCTAGGACCCCATCACCTCCATCTAGGTCCCCATCACCATAACCCAACCCGGCTCATGGTGGTGTCGTGTGTCTTGGCCCAATTCAAGAGAGCAAATTTGAGTCATTCCTTCAACGGGGTCATACCATCCAAAAGTTTGCGCATGTGTCATCCCTTAAAGATTTGCGCATTTATAAACAAGTACAAACCCTGTTTCGCAACATAGAATGGCACGGATTGTTGAGGATCCACGAACTGAGTTACAAAGTCCCAAGCTGAGTTTCTATCCTCAGTTTATTTGGACCATGGGACCCTCCACTTCCGTCTCATGAATCAAGATTATGAGACTTCCTTGGATCAAATTAATGCCATTGTTGGGGCCCCAAATGAAAACACATTTGGCCCCATCGACCCAATTAAAGGATACTTTGATTAGACATGGTGGACCCAACTCATCCATTTACACCCATACGTCTCTAGCGCAGCTAAAGCCTCATCACTTATCCATCTCGTGATGAAGGTGGCCCATAGAATCATTGCTTCACTCATCGCCCCTAGAAAAGAGCGAAGCACCATCAGCGCGCTAGAGCTCAAAATCCTTTATGCAATGGCTCATCCCGAGGACAACCTCGTTCCGCATTATGGTCAATTTTTGGCCACGAACTCCTCCGATCATCACATCCCGATTGGGAAAGATTTATTGTGAGGGTATTGATAGGATGCTCACCAAGAGCGCCCAAGTCCGAGCCTCATACCCTGCTCCCCACCAGCCACTGCCAGGTGAGCCTTATCTCACCACTGTTGTCCTTGAGTCCATGCGACTATTCCGTTCGGAAGCGGATGGCACACACCACTAGATCGTAGGTCAAAATCATGATCCAAAGATCCTCATCACACCAAAAAACAAAGGCATTCTTGATCTCCAAAACCCCATTCACATGACCGATTGGAAAATCATTCTATACATATTCCCTCAGTCATACTCCACTGAGGTAGATGAACAAAGTGAAGAAAACGAGGAAGGTGGTGATGATGATGATGAAGAGGAGGAGGAGGAGCCTCACCATACTCCTCCCACCGGTGGTGCCCTCATCCCATTATGTTGCGCCCCCATCTTATCAACAGTATATGGATGAATTCCAATGAAGGAAGAGGAACTCTAAATAAGGCTTGCAATATCTTACTGGTAGGTGTCGAGGCGGGTATGGATTGACTAGAATTCATCCATATACTGTTGATGATAAGACGGGGGCGCAACATAATGGGATGAGCTGGCACCACCGGTGGGAGGAGTATGGTGGGGCTCCTCCTCTTCATCATCATCATCACCACATTCATGTTTTCTTCACTTTGTTCATCTACCTCAGTGGAGTATGACCGAGGGAAGATGTATGGAATGATTTGCTAATCGGTCATGTGAATGGGGTTTCGGAGATCAAGAATGCCTTTGTTTTCTGGTGTGATGGGGAGCTTTGGATCATGATTTTGACCTACGTTCTTGTGGTATGTGTCATCCGTTGCCGAACGGAACAGTCGCATGGACTCAATGACAGCAGTGGTGAGATAAGGCTCACCCGGCAGTGGATGGTGGGGACCAGGGTATGGGGCTCGGGCTTGGGCGCTCTTGGCGAGCACGCTGACAATACCCCCGCAATAAATCTTTCGCGGTCGGGATGTGCTCATGCAGAGGAGTTTGTGGAACAAAAATTGACCATAATGAGGAACGAGGTTGTCCTCAGGATGAGCCATTGCATAAAGGATTTTGAGCTCTAGCTCGCTGATGGTGCTTCTCTCCTCTCTAGGGGTGACGAGCGAATCAATGATTCTATGGGCCACCTTCATCACGGGATGGATAAGTGATTAAGTTTTAGTTGTGCTAGAGATGTATGGGTGTAAATAGGTGAGTTGGGTCCACCATGTCAAATCAAAGCATCCTTTAATTGGGTCAGTGGGGCCAAATGTGTTTTTAGTTGGGGCCCTAACAATGGCATTAATTTGATCCAAGGAAATATCATAATCTTGATTCATGAGATGGAAGTCGAGGGTCCCATGGTCCAAAGAAACTGAAGATAGAAACTCAGTTGTTGGGAATTTGTAACTCAGTTCGTGGATCCTCAACAACCCGTGCCATTCTATGTTGCGAAACAGGGTTTGGACTTGTTTATAAATGCACAACTCTTTAAGGGATAACACATGCGTAAACTTTTGGATGGTATGACCCCGGTGAAGGAATGATTCAAATTTTCCCTCTTGAATTTGGTCAAAACACACGACACCACCATGAGTCAGGTTGGGTTGAGGTGATGGGGACCTAGATGGAGGTGATGGGGTCCTAGGTGGAGGTGATGGGGATGGGGACCTAGGCCTACGAAGGCGGGCGGATGATTTGGTGCGTCTAGGCGTTTTAGAAGGTTCACCTTCCATAGTCAATTTGGGACAAATTAAAAGTCAACCTGTCAATAAGTAAAAAATGTCAACTGTTGACGGGTCCAGTCAACATGAATTCAACCACCAAAATTTCGCAGGAAATTTGGTTTTGAATGAATTCCTATTGAGAATCAAGTCCAATTTGACCACTATATCAAGCAATTTGACTCAAGAACACAAATCTCACAAGTGAAGAACTGGAAGAAATTTACCGAATCGTGCGTGGGATTGTGTCGTTCTTGATGGGAAAGACCTTCTTCAACCTCCCCAAGCTTTTCCTTTTGAAGATTAAGACACAAAAACACCAAAATCATGAGATTTTCGGACCTAGGGTTTGTCAAAACCCCCAAATTCACCATTAGAATGCAAGAAAATGATGTTTAGGATGAAGAAGATAAAGTGTAGATGATAAAAATCAAACCTTTTTGGAAATGCAAGCCAAAATCTTGTAGAAATTGAAAGGTTTTGATGAAAATCAGACCTAGGATTTTTTGTTGGGAGAGAGGGGCTGTTATGAAGTGATTGTGGGGGTAAATGAGTCAAAGTCCCGATTTTTATCGTTAAAAACCACCAGGCTTGCTGCACGAACACGACTCGTGTTCCCACAGGCCAAATTGACGTGCCCCGTGTTGGGGGTTTTTATGCTAACTGAAGCACGAACATGACCCATGTTGAGTATAAGGCAAAACTCAACACGACCCGTGTTGGTCTCTCGATGGGTCAAGGTCATCTTTTATGAACACGAATCGTGTTCACTATGGGCCAAAATCCAACACGACCCGTGTTGGTGTCTGGATGAAAAATAGTATATTTTTCATGAACACGGCCCGTGTTCAATTTAGGCCAAGTGGGATACGACCCATGTTGGGCTCTGGATGCTATTCCTCACTTTTTGAACTTAAAAATTTCCTCTCATTGAAATGAAATGCTTTTGCATCCCACGGTTCGTTATTTTTTATTTGAAAACATGACAAAACACATTTGGAACATTAAAAACCATAAAAATGCAAAGAACAAAATGTTTTAAATAAAAATGACGAAAATACCCCCGGGTTGCCTCTCGGTTAGCTGCCCGTGTTTTAAGTCGTTGGCTCGACTTTTCCACCAAGTGTGCTTCAGTCTTGGTATGTGGGGTTCTCTAACACATCAACCTCCTCAGTCTTCACATCGAATCCTTCATAAAACAGCTTCAATCTATGACCATTAACTTTGAATGTTTTACCGGTTTGCTTGCTCGTGATTTCCACCGCACCATGGTCAAATACCCTTGTGACCACAAAAGGACCAACCCATCTTGATCCTAACTTCCCTGAAATTAACTTGAACCTTGAGTGGTAAAGAAGCACCTTTTGTCCTTGCACAAAAGTCTTCCGGGAGATCATTTTGTCATGGTACACTTTTGTCTTCTGTTTATAAATCATGTTGCTTTCGTACGCATCATTCCGAATCTCCTCTAACTCTTGAATGTCTAGCTTCCTTTTGTTTCCTACCTCATCTTTATTTATATTGAATTTCTTTACAGCCCAAAAAGCTTTATGTTCAAGCTCAATCGGAAGATGACATGCTTTTCCAAACAACAGCCTATATGGGGACATAGCAATGCGGGTTTTAAAGGTAGTACGGTATGCCCATAAGGCATCATCTAGCCTTATGATCCAATCTTTGCGGTTTGGGTTGACCGTTTTCTCCATGATACTTTTGATTTGCCTGTTTGAGATCTCGACTTATCCATTGGTTTGGGGATGATAAGCTGTTGAGACTTTGTGTGTCACCCCATACTTCTTCAAAACAGCTTCGAGCATCCTATTGCAGAAATGGGTCCCGCTGTCACTTATGAGCGCCTTTGGTGTGCCAAACCGTGAGAAAATCTGTACCTTAATAAAATCTACCAAAACTTTGGAATCATTAGTACGGGTGGCCTTAGCCTCCACCCATTTGGACACATAGTCCACCACCAATAAAATGTATGAACAACCAAAAGAGGGCGGAAATGGTCCCATAAAGTCAATACCTTATACATCAAATATCTCACACACTAAAATGGGAGTAAGGGGCATTTGATTCCTAGAGCTTAAAGACCCGGATTTTTGGCACTTTTCGCAATGTGCACAAAACACATAAGAATCATGAAATATAGAAGAACAAAACAATTCATTATCTAAAACTTTCCTAACTGTCCTTCGGGGTTCAAAGTGACCACCACAAGCATAAGAATGAGAAAAATTAAGGATAGATTCTACCTCTTTTCGCTCAACACACATTCGGATCATTTGATCTGCGCAGTACTTCCAAAGGTACGACTCGTCCCATATGTATCGCTTGGCCTCCTTCTTGATTTTATCTTTTTTCCAACGAGATGAATCTAGGGGAAATTGACTCGTGACCAAATAATTGACGATATCTGCATACCATGGTGCTTCTTTGACTACAAATAGATGCTCGTCTTGAAATGTGTCACAGATTGGTATACCATCTTCCGGTGATACAATGCGGCTTAGATAATCCGCAACTAAATTCTCCTTTCCACTCTTGTCCTTGATCTTAATATCGAACTCTTGCAAAAGCAGCATCCACCGTATTAACCTCGGCTTCGAATCTTTATTTGTAATTAAGTGTTTTATGGTTGCATGGTCCGAATATATGATCACTTTAGTTCCAAGGAGGTATTGTCGCAACTTCTCTAGAGCAAAGATAATAGCAAGCAACTCTTTCTCCGTTGTGGTGTAGTTGATTTGTGCACTATCCAAGGTCTTGGATGCATAGTAGATGACATGATGAGCTCGATCAACCTTTTGTACCAAAACCGCCCCAACCGCGGTATCGCTAGCATCGCACATGATCTCGAATGGAAGATCCCAATTTGGTGGTTCAGTGGGTTTGGCCTAGAAATCCAACACGGGGCGTGTTTGACCATTCCAGGCACTTTGACTTCACTGAACACGACTCGTGTTCTTTTAGCCTATTTGGATAAGGGCCATGTTGGTCCAGATGAACATTTTTGAGCATCATACTTTAGAGTTGGAATCGAGGATTGAAGGGTGTGTTTTTACTCAACACGACTCGTGTTGATTTACTCTATATCGACACGGACCGTGTTCGACTTAAAAACTGCTTTATGGCATTGTTTCCTATTTTCTTTGTGTCGAGAATTGGGTCATTTTGGGGGATATCAGAGCATAGAAGAGCACTTTTGGAGAGGAGAATTGGAAGGTTTTAGCAAGGGTTTGTCCGTTAATCATTTGGAAACATTTTAAATTCTTCTTTGTAAGCACTTTAGCACTTAATTTCATCTTTTAAACATATTAATCTTGTTCTAGCCATGTGTGGCTAGAACCCTAACTTCCCCAATTTCATGTTTTGACTTTTTGGTTGTGAATCAAATCATATGACCTGATGTTTGTGTTTAATTTCTATCTAGTGAAACTGATTTTACTTCAATCGAATGTTTGATTCTAATAATGATTCTTATTGGCCATTTTAATTAGGGTTAGGTCATTCAAGTTATTTATTTTGCAAAATCCGTAATTATTTTGTGAATTGAACTAAGTAACAAACATTAAATTGATTTCTTATGAATGAATTTAGTGTAAATCTTTTCACACATTCTTACGCTCCCAAGCTTGTGAGGAGTATTGGGTGTTGTTGGGAACATCCACAATAAGCTTAATGCAATCTTTTAATCTAATCCTAAGAGCTTGTTTAGATTACGTTAGTAAGGTTAGGATTAATCAAAGAGCTTATTTTGATTGATTAATGTGGTGAATGGAAAGTGTTAGAGCTTGTTAACACTTTCAATTACCAACTTAGATAGAATGAAACAAATGTCTTGTCATCTTTGATTCACATTGCTGGATTGTCATACATGAAGTTGGAATCCTTACAAAATCTGAACTTAATTCACTCATTTAGCCGATTACGTGTGTTTTTAATTTGTTTGTTTAGTCATTGCATTCTAAACCCCCCCCCCCCCCTCTTTACTGTTGGTGACCATAGTACCTTGCGCAAAGAGGTATATACTACTTACCTTGTACTACCTTTTAGTGCAATATAGTGGGGATTCATTTGGAGTATATCGTACCCCTTTATTTGTTGGGTTTGACACGCCTAAAAGCGCGCCCCAGGCAAGGCTGGCGGGGGAGCGCCAGGCGAGGGAGTATCCGGTCGGGCCGACAACGGTTGGCAAAGAACCGCGCCAGGCCAGGCTGGTGCTCTAGATCAGTCTAGGCCTTGCTAATGGACCATATATCATCAGTCGATATATACAAAATAAATAACATATATCCAACAAACAGATAATCATATAGACAGGCAACCGAAAAATATGCAGATCTAATAGATCACTACAACATAGCAACATCCTTTATACCAGGATACATTACCTAGTAGGTCGTCATTGGTGCCTTCAACCCACAAGTACAGTGAGAAAAGCTCACCTCAATCAGAAGATAGCAAATCTCACAACCAATCAATACCAACCCTAGATACTTTCTAAGGTTAAGCCTATAATCATGAGGCCCAATAATGGCCCAAGTCCAAACTAGGCCAACTAATGGCCCGACCCATCTAGAGAAACCTAAGGCCCAAAAGTTCCAAAATGGTGTCAAGTCAACGGTCCAAAATCCAACAACTGACCCTCACGTCATGACCAGCTCATGGTCACATCGTGAGCATCAGCTTGACCCGGTCCCAACTCAGTCAATCAACTCACCCAGTCTCGATTCCAATCATCATCACGTCGTGACCACCCCCAGAGTCACGTCGTGACATCATCTAGACAAAACAGTCGGAAAGGAAAACGTTTTCACAATGTGACAAGCTTATTCCTCATGTCGTGAGTGCTACATGGCCAACTTTGGGCATTAAGCTCTTATTCCATCCAACCATTACTTGGGGCATTTCAGAGGGTCCTCCCTCGCCTAAAGAATGATAAAAATCATAGCTTTTAGCCATGCATGTCCAATGCATGACTCAAACACTCACTAGGTTCAAAGAGGGAA